GCCCCTCTCCATGCTCCAGGCTGCGGCTTCCCAGGGCACAGGCCGGGCGGCAGAGCAAGGGAGGGAGCCAGGGACCCCGGAGGAGGAGCGTGGGAAGAAAAGCCAGCGAGCGGGTTTGCCTCCTCCCCTGCGCCCTTAGTCGGGAAGGAGGAGCTGGGAGGAGGGGATCCCTGATTGGGCTCTCCCGGCGGCGAAGAGCAAATCACCGGCAAGATCGGGCCAGAGGGAGGAGAAGGGGAGACGAGGGTGGGGAGCGTGAGGGAGACAGAAGGCGGAGAAAGGGCCCGGGAGCCAATAGGCTCCGGGAAGAGGAGGGAAAAAAGAGATAGGAGAGAAAACAGGGTCATGGATAGAGAGAGACTAAAGCCAAGGGCAGATTCATTGATCTTAGGGCTGAAGGGGTCTGATCAGCCACTCTTCTACTTAGCACAGGGCAGAGAAGTGACCTCTGTTGGGCCCAGACACTTGTGTTCTCCAAAGGAGTCAACCAGATCTATACTGTGCAGCACTCGGGTATGCAGGGGTATTCTAGAGGGCAATCAACTCATCCAGAGACTTGCCCAGTGTTACAACAGGCTACATAAAAAGCACTAGTGAAAATAGGACAAATTAAAATCTCCTACAATGACTCATCTATACTGTTTTACCTACTGTCCATTGTAATGTAAAAACCTGAGTAGTCCTGTAGCATCAAAGGCTACATCTACTCTGCAGCTTTATTTCAGGATCCCAAGAGATCCCGAAATAGCAATCCTGCATCTTAACAGCGAGCCCATTATTTCAGGCCCACAAATCAGACATCAGACATCTTCACAAGGTAAAACCAGTTGGTTTTCATTTCAACCTACCTGGACATAGTCTTAACAACCTTCCTACATGCATCTTAATTCAAAGAGACTTTAACACCAGATTACAGAGGGAAACTTCAGAACTTTCATTCATGCTTAAATTTGACACTTTACCAATGGGCCTTAATAAAGATGCTAATTACCTAGCCCATTACAAAGATAGCTTCCCCACTTATCACCCCTGACTAGCTATTCACTGACTCATCAATAGCTATTCCTTCCCTCCCTCTCCCTCACCCCACCTTCTGTACTAAATCTGATTTGTCAATGTGTTCACTTTTTTCATTGTATTCCTTTGCTCTACATGGTCATGCTAATTCTCTTCCAGAATATGATCTGAGGAAGTAGGTCTGGCCCACGAAAGCTATTAAACCATCTTGTTAGTCTTTAAAGTGCTACATAGTTTTCCCTTTTGTTTTAGCAAGATCTGACTAACACTGCTACCTCTCTATTACTATTCTGATGACAGGGATGTTTTGGAATAGTTCTGTATTTCAAAATTTGGTGTTATGTAAACAGAGCCAAATCACAAAATAAGTTATTTTGAAATAATATCAAAATAAGATAAGCAATTTGCGTAGCTCAAATTGCATATCCTGTTTCGAGCTACTGTGCAGTGTAGATGCACCCTTAGGGTGCATGTAGACTGGCAAGATTTTGCGCAAAAGCACCTGCTTTTGCGCAAAAACTTGCCAGCTGTATACACTGGCCACTTGAATTTGCGCAAGAGCACTGATGTTCTAATGTAAGAATTCAGTGCTTCTTGCGCAAATACT